TGACCTATCTGCATGTTTTGGTCCAACACTGAGCCAAGAATGGCTTTGTACGGCCAAGTTTGCGCTTTACACGCACAATTTCTTAGCAAAATAATGGCCTTCAACGGCTTATAATTTCGTCCACAAAAGCGCTCTGCAGATAAGGAAGACAGATTTAGGCCCGTATGCACGTACATCCCCGCTGGGGAGGGGAGGGGATCTGAGAGGGGATGCGTCATATCTCGCTACTTTACGTATCTTTCTTCTTCCTTTTCTATCTTGCTTGTGAAGGTTCTCATACCCTACTACCTGCGCATAATCGATGCCAGGTTACTGGCATAACTGATTAGATTTGTACTGTTTTGTGTGATCCCCTGGGGATCCCCTGGGGATCCCCAGGGGATCACACAAAACAGTACAAATCTAATCAGTTATGCCAGTAACCTGGCATCGATTATGCGCAGGTAATACGGTATGAGAACCTTCATAAGCAAGATAGAAAAGGAAGGAGAAAGATACGTAAAGTAGCAAGATATGGCGCATCCCCTCTCAGATCCCCTCCCCTCCCCAGCGGGGATGTACGTGCATACGGGCCTTAGAGTCACCAATTTATGCTGCATCTACTGATATGCAGCTTGTATGGATTGGCCACTTCGACTTCTGACCATTCCCTTGTCAATCCAAAGAAATTCGTGAATGTGGTTTAAAGGAGACCATGAACTGTTTTTTTTTCATTAGCTCCCGACGCACAGGGCAGGCAAGGTGCAGCAGAAGGCAACTCGTAAGGTGAGGTAAGCTAAATGCCGCTTCCCCTGTCTTCGTGAGTGTCATCGAACGCGGTTAGGCAAAACGCCAGGTCGGACGCTCGCAGACGTCGCGCAACCTTCGAGAAGCAGCTGTGTAACTAATATGGAATTGTGAACTCGCTACTGACACAAACAAGGATGAAAATGGAAGGAAATCGGCGGTTACAGATAAACATTCATTTCTGGATTTCTTGCAAAATTTTGGAACAATCTCAAAAGTTTCCCAGCGGAGATATTTTTTCTCGAATGTTAGATTTGTGTTTTCAAAGTTCTCCAAAATGCGATTCATGCCTGTTTGCCATGAAGATGTAGTCATGTTTCTTTTATCTGCCAAAACACTTGAAACACTCAAACTGATACATAAATCCTACTTACAAGGGAAGTCACTTAACTTAGGTCGGGCTTTTGAAGTGAAACACATATATTCAGAATCAGCTCGGAACGCTGATTTTAAATATGCTATCTTTAGCTGCGAAGCGTTTTTCTGAAGCGAGTTACGAGCTTTTTTAGTATGTGTCATTGACATACAACTGAATATGGAAAAAAGGTCTTTGGATGAAAATCTGCCCAAAAAGTGGTGAAAAATCAAAATAACATTAAATTGAGTCATTTGGCTTTGATAGTGTATAATATGCATTTGAACCACTACCTAGATGATGATACCGTAGCATGCCTAAATCGGTCAACACGCAAAATTTGCTCAGGAAAAAGCTCATAACTCGCTTCAGAGGAACGCGTCGCAGCTAAGGAAAGCAGATTTGAAATCAGCGTTTCAAGCTGACTCCAACCATATGTGTCTCATTTTAAAAGCCCGACCTAAGTCAAGTGACTTTCCTTGTTAAATTATTAGTCCTTTTCAGAAATTCGAGTTCTTGCGCGAAGAATGGATAGACTTTAGCATCAGGCCACTGTCTGTCGCCCTCAGTCTTTACTGGCAATGGCTCGGCAAATCATGGACCTTAAATTTCGGTACTTATCTGAGGTAGTTCGAAGCGTTGATCTCGAAATATCGTAGAGAGCGCGAAAATGGCAAAAACTAGCATTCTCAAAGACCCTTCATTTACAATTCGGAAACGAGTGGAACAGCTACCATGGTTGGAAACACAGTTCTTGTGGGACCTTTATGATTACAACATTACGGCATGCCGGCTCCTACCATGGGAGGTTTCGGCCGGATCGGATTCCCAGCTAGCTATAAGCGCTTGGCCAGAACCCCCGCCATCTGGCTTCCTGATCGCTAGGCAGTCTTCCCTTCACGCCCGGGGTTAAATTGCCCGGGAAATCAAAGGCCTAGTAAGTCTGCTCTTATAACAACTTCCATTACTCCGCCAACTCGAATCTCGCTTACGACGCCGGGTGGTAGCAAGAGATGTCAGGGTCCTTAAGGCGCCTTTTGGCTAAAAAAACGGCACTCTGCCCGGATGACACGCCATGGAGACTGCCTCATCCTCTGCACCTACAACGCCAGGACAGTCTCCACAAACGCCGACCTCCACGTTCTGCTCGACGCGTGCAGAGCACATCAAGTACGCATCATCGCTCTGCAGGATACGAAATCTAAGAAGAAGGACGTGCGACAGATGAGTGATGGGAAATTTGTGGTGAAAAGGTTCCATCAGGAAACGTTGGAGGCGTTGACTTTGTCGTTCACTGAACTATCGTCCATCTTATAGATTCGCATGAGATTCTATCACCTTGACTAGCCATCCTACGACTACACCTCGATGTCAGAAGACCATTAGCATTATCAGCTGCTACTCTCCAACATCAGCAGCTACGATTAACAACTGGATACTTTCTACGAAGACGCGGAGGAGGTCGTCCGCAACGGCAGTCCTTCCACAAGTTTGTTGTGGGAGACTTCAACGCAAAGATCGGATGCCACTAGAAAAGGAATGAAGGGTTGGCGAGTTTCAATATGGTCTCCGCAACGAAAACGGCAACCGTCTTCTTCAGCTTCTCTCCGCCGCAAGACTTTTCCGTGGGAATCATCTACATGAAAGAAGAACATCGCCGGTGGACATGCGAACGAAACAAAAACGGAACGAAACATGCAGAGATCGACCACATTTTCACCAACCGAAGGTGGAGCTTGCTCGTCCTCAGTAGTTCCATCCTTCAGTGGCTCCGATCACTGCCTCTTTCGAGTAGAGGTACGATTCAGTTGAAAGCTGGGAAAGAAGGTCTGCCACAATGCCGCAAGAAGGAAGAATGTCGTTTATGACAGCAATAGGCTGGAAGAGCTCATATTAAATAGGACTGGCCTATCGAGGAGGACCCAACGTATGACTATGACCGGATTCTAGAAGAATTGCGAGCGTGAGGGAGAGTGCGCCTTAGTGATTTCCGAGAAGAACTTGGAACGCTTTCCGAAGACCACCAAGGAATTACCCGAAAGAAGGAGATCATGGAGGCAAGATCCGAGTGCAACTCATCTCGATCGACTGATATCTAACGCCAGTTGCAGAACAGCTTTGCATGAGGATCTCAGGAAGTACAGGCAAGCAAAGATACTGGAAACAGCCGAAAAAAGAAAACCATAAAGATGTCCACTGCTCTATAGACCATGTTTCCGCCGAATTTCTGCGAGCCGGAAGACAACGTCTAGAGATTCTCGCGGAGATTCTCGCGTTGCACCTTACATTTTATCTTCAAAAGGAAAGGATTACCGACCGGTGGAGAACGTCAAAAACCGTCTCTTCAAAAAGGGTGAATGAGAGGATCTTCGGAACTACCGTCCGATATGCCCGCCGTGTATACTGTACAAGCTTTTCATGAAGGTTATCCTCGCTCGCATATCTAAAACATTGGATGAAGCCCAACCTCAAGTACAAGCTGGATTTTGCAAGGGATTCAGCTGCATGGACCACATCCAGACGGTTTCGAGGTCATAGAAGTCGCCGGGAGTACCGACTGCCTCTCGTCCTAACCTTCGTCGACTACGAGAAAGCCTTTGACAGCGTCGAAATCAACGCCATTCTCCCAGCGCTAGTCGATCAAGGAGTAGAAGCGGCTTACCTGAGGACACTAGCCGACTGCTACAAGGACTGTACAACGACGATTCAGCTGTTCATCGTTCCTGACCATCCCAGTTGGAAAGCGGGTCCGACAAGGCGACACCATCTCGCAGCCTTGCAGTGGGTGATGAAATCACTGGACGGGACGAGAGAGGCATAAGTGGAAGACCTGTCGAACCTTCGTTTTGCGGACGACATCGTTCTATTCTCGAGCAGTACCACTAAAGCAGAGACGATGTTGAAGGAACTAAACGAAATAGGGAAGAAGGTCGGATTGCGAAGAAATCGGAAGAAAACTCAGTCCATGAAGAACGTCTTTTGCGAAAATGCAGAAATGGGATTGAAAGGCACGCTTATCATGGAGACGTCTTCTTACGTGTACTCGGACGATGAACATGGAGAACGACTTGAGGGAAGAACTTAACAGGAGAAAAAGAGCAGCCTGGGCCGCCTTCGTGCCTTTGAAGAAAGTTACCGACTAACTGACGGACCCGGAATTTCGTGCGCACCTATTCAACTCAAACGTTCTCCCAACGCTCTGTTACGAAGCTGACTTGGGCCAACACTGCAGCCACGTCGAAATCTTTACAGATCATCCACAGAGCGCTCGAACGCAGTCCTCTGAAGATGACCCGACAAACAACATCTTGTCGGACTTCGCATACGAATATGAGAAAGATGTCTCGTTTTCGTGACCCAGCAGAATACATTGCGAAAGCAAAGCATCGATGGGCTGGCTGGTCAAATTATGAGAAGTACGGACGACAGTTGGACACTAAGAACATCAGAGTGGATTCCTCGGGAAGCAAAACGTCCCTAAGGAATCTAATGAGATGGACAGACGTGTTCGTGGTACGCATGGAAGAGCTGAGAAATTAGCTGGATACCATTTTTGCTGCTGGAACTCGTGGACGCTGCCACCGACGTAAACCAAGAAGATCGTGAACGTCTGAAGCGAGGGACAAGGATAAATAAAAACTTCAGCGCTAGGGCACGCACATCACGTGAAGCCGGACCATTTAAGTAAGTATCTAGCAATAAGTAAATTCGGTAGTGAAACAAGAATATAATGATTTCAAGCGATCTGTGTATCATAGAGTATTCGATCTATGATACAAAACAACTTTGATGGGAATTTTCTCAAGATTCTTTCGCCTTTTGTAATTGTAATTCCTTCGGCATAGATATATCACTTACAATTAGAAATAGAACTTTCATTCATCAATCAACAGCGTTCACAAGCAGCCGATAATAAGTTAAAATGCATGAGAATAAAAACGCTGTTTCAAAAAGCTTTCCAGTCGAGTAGTATAAATGACACGCGATATGTGCGTTGAGCATAAGGATCTTAATGTGTTGGTCGCAATAAATAAACCGTAGAGAGATAAATAAGTAGCAGTGGTTGGTCAGCATTGTAACTTGGTCGGCGAGTTATGTAAAGGCACAAGGGAGGTTATGACGAGCAATTAGCTAAATTAGCTCGCATAAGAATTGACTATGGCCTGCGATATGTCTGGATATATTCAAATAGAAGCGAGAAACAGTCAACAACGTTGGAATATATACAATCTCAATGTCATGGTTATGACAGGACCCCACTTTGAATCACATGGTTGGATCCATGCTTGACAGCGGCATCCTGATAACTACGAAAGTGAGTAAGATTCGTTTCTACTCTTCGGGTGACACTCCTCGTTCATATCGAGCTTTGTTCAGGTTTGCTAAGCGTTCCCGAGCATGGACGAGTTCCTTTTCCTTGCGCAACACTTGCTCTTGGGCGTCCATGACCTACACAAAAAATAATTTGTTCAGGGGTACGGTAGCGGGTGAGAGCTACTGTACCTGGGCGATGCCGCTAACGAGGCGATCAGAAATTACGATGTTACGCTCATCTTCGATGACATTTTGTCGAGCTGAGCTGACCAATCGTTCGGTTGCAGTCTGGAAATGATTTTCAGAGAAATGCAAATGTTTTAGTGCGCACGGATTCCAAGAATAAATTTAAAAAGTTCTATTGATTTTCAAACTAAGTGTCCCCTATAATATTCTATTCCTTTAAATTGACCTGTAAACCGACCTAGAGGAATCGCTGAAATCGCGGCGCACTAAATGATGGGCATTTGTCACTTGGTGTCGCGTAAGCTATAGGAATAGTAGCCAACGAGGTAGCGCGTAATCTCCCCTATTGGCAAAAAAAGTATTCTCAAGGATGGCTCCGTATCAGGAACAGGAAGAGAGCTCTTTATTGCAAATTTGCCGTGATTGCCAAATTTCGCTTACGGGACAACTTGTGTCAACTGCCCGTCATTTAGCGCGCACCATTTGCTCACCAGGTTCCCGATCTATTTTACAAATTGACTATGGCTCCCAAGCTCTAGCACAAAACGTAATTTTTGAAGTTCGATGCAAAGTATACGATAAACATTTATTTTAATTCTGTTATGAAATTTTAAACCTGCAGTGCAATTACGTAGACAGCAAGATTAAAATTTTATGAAGGAGATTGATTCCTTCTAAGAATACTTTATCCCTGCCTAAAAAAATTTAGAAGAGTTTGAATACCTTCACAGCGTGACCAGCAGCCTGGAGTCGTCGTCGTGCTTGACTATCCATATCAGCCTTAACATTACAGGCCACAAGCAGTTGAGCAGTAGACGCCGCCACCTTCAATCAATAAAATCAATAATGAATTATGTGAGAGAAAAGTGAAAAATCACCTGTTTAGCAGCAGAGATCAGTTTTTCTTCGCTTGCTTGGCCTTGTACAAGAGCGTTAGCTGCTTCACATAGTTGATGTACAGCTGCGACAACAAATCGGGCAGCACTGATGAGACCCTATAGATGTGAAAAATCAAGAAAAATCTAGCCAAAACACAGTTGAGAAATTTAGTAATCTTGTAAGATGCACAAACCCACAATGTACCCTAGTAAAGGTCCCGAAACTAATTGAGCAGAGAAAATTTTTTCATCAAAAGTGTTGTTTAATGTCTTTTTACAAGTTTTCGATCAAACTGAATTACTAGTGACGATTATAATCTACTTTCCATGCATCAAAATGAAAACTTGGTGACAAATTTTCACGATGTATGTATGCACTGCGGCTCTGCTGCGGATGGTGACCGCGATTTTACGCCCAATATGGCTAGTGAGTGCATTTGCACACACTGAATTATGAAACTCGACTATGCCGTGTGGCACCGCTTACCTCTGACCACTGATAATCTTCACTGTGTTGCTGTGGATGAGAATCAAGGCGACCTTAAATCATTTTTTTTCAATTTTACGTGACCAAAACAATTGAACCAGTGGGTCCTGACGAGAAAAACAAAGTGTATGAGCTCACCTTGCGCAATGAGTTCTCGTTGAGCTGATGATGCAGCTTTGACAAGCGTTTGTACCGCAGCAGTGATAGACTTAGCTGCGCTAAGAATTTGCTCATCAAACGCTAAATTCTCATCGGTTTTCTGAAAATTTCACATTACCAAAAATACTTCAATCTAGGTGAAAAGTACTGCGTCAAAGAAAGAGGATGTTGAAGCAAAGGGTCCAAGGTAGGGCACGCCCGATCTTCGATATGTCTAATAGTTCTGGTTGACAATGAACCCAAGAATACCAGACATATCAAAGCTAAAGCGGTCACGGTAGTAGAGGATGGGTGTGACGGTGATAGTGGCGGAGGCGGTGGTGGCGGTAGCGAAGGCGGTGGTGGCAGTGGCGGTGGCGGAAGGAGGTGGTGTGAAGGTGTGCGCCAAGTAGATGGCAAATAAGCAGATGGGTAGAAGAAGAGCGAAGCAAGGAGAATTGCGTAGAGAAAATAAAATTGAGAATTTGAGACCGACCGTAGCTTGGACACGTGGACGAAGTTCGGCCAATTTCACAGCAGCTGCTTCGATAGAGCTGGCTGCACCCATAAGCTCGTTTTCAGCTATGATAGTGGGGTCGGAATGGTCGGCCCAGGTATCACCCTGAAAGAAAAACTTATATAATGGTTTTCTGGTGTCTACTGATTTCATAAGTGGTTTTGTTGCGTCGAAAGATTCTACACAAAGGGATTTACCTTGAGCAGTTCGCTGCACCCGATTAGGTCCTTGACCGCCTTAGCTACACCCCTAGAGGCATCAAGAAGAAGTTGGCGTGACGATTGGTCCGCATTGCGAGCTAGGACAGTGTGCAGAGCCACAAGCAACCCACGGACCTGAAAAAATTGGAAATGTCAAAAAAAATTCAACCATGAAAGCTCTTGCACGACTCACCTGCGCAGCAACCTCCCTGCCCGAGTCCAGTGTCCTATACCGAGCCTCAGCCGAATCTGCATCAGCAGCCGCAGCTCGTGACACTATAAGTAGCTCGCTGACGGCAGCTCGTGCCAGATTGGCGGCAGCTATCACGTCGCTTTGCTGTAGGGTCTGAGCGGCGCCTGCGAGACGAGTTGTCGCGTCGGTGACGCGCTTAGTGGCGCGTGCTAGATGTTCCGGTGTGGCTCCAGATGGTCCGGATGTACCCTCGCCAGTTTCGTGATCGTACGACTGGAAAAGGGTGTTTTTATTCTGCAATTTCCACAAAGTCAATTTTCTGATAAAAAAGAGAAGTTTTTGGTAATCAGGGGCATACGAGAAAACCAAAAGAAATCAGCAAAGGGCCTCTCAATATTTGCAGGGCCAGATGTAGTAACTGCATTCTCTCAGAATCAAAAAAGCCATTCTTTACAACTTGGTTGGCAGTACGCATGGGGAGTGGAGGGGGAGTGATTACAAAAATGCTGCATATAAAAAATTAAAATGAGCAGGGCACATTTTTTTTGGATAATCAAATTGTTTCTATTTCATACCTTGAATTCCTTTAAAAATTGATCTTTTAGTGAAAAAATTTTTTTGGCTCAATTTCCCTCTCAAAAAAGAAATTCTGTGGCCGCAAGTACTTTTGTTTTAAAGCCAACTGCTGACGGAAAAAATGGAATTTGGAGTCTTCATTTTTTTGATTCTCAAAAGATGAAATCTAGAAATCAAACAAAGTTGAGTCCTATTTTTACAAATTTCTGGAAAATCAAGCTTCCGAAGATAGTTAAAAGAGCAAAAAAACTTTAAAAAGCAAACAAACCTTGATTTCAATGCCAATGGCATCGATAGCAGCTTCTAGAGCCCTTGTACCTTGTTGTGTCTTATCTTCTACTGTCTTCACAATCTTCAGAAGCGAAGTGACATTCGAGACCATAGTCTGAAATACTTTCATTTTGTTTCATTAACCTTTCCTTCATTCCAATCAATACCTACCTTTGCCGCGTCCTTCAAATGACCCATGGCGGGATCATGCAATGATCTTCCAGAAGCATTCTTGGTAGCTTGGATCAAGGCCGACAAAGAAGCAGCCACATCGCGAACAGCATGGATCACGAGCACTTGAGCTTCAGAATTCGAGGGGGACAGACTTCCTGCGCCATTCTTGACAGCATCAGAAAGGTTGACAATGGTCCTGACAGCATTCTGAGCAGCTACTGCTAGCTGCTCTTGGTTAGAAGCAGCTCCAGCAACTAGCGCTTTAGTGTCTTCTACAAGGGCTTTGGCTGTTTTGATGATGGCCACGCTGGAAAAACAAAGACCTTTTTCTACCGTACTTCACCGGAAGGTTAGGGTATGCTTACCGATGCTCATTGAAATCACGCTCTCCACCAGCTACATTTAAACTTCCACTTGTAGCGAAAAGTATAGTCGTGTCAAGATCTCCAATGATTCCGGACACGGTATTAGCAGCGTTTATACAAGCTTGAGTTCCCTTAGAGCCTTCGTGGAGAGATGCCAACACTTCATTCACTCTTTCAACTACGATCCTTGAGTTGTCCGTGAGTTCACGGTGAGTGCGCTAAAGTACGAACTTTCTTCAGAATCACGACCTACTACTGTGACTTCAGAAATACCGTACCTCATCTTGAGGATGCGCTCTGCGTTGTCCAGCTACTTTTACGGTATCAATGCAAGATGTGCCAAGCTTCTGTACCGCTACTTTGAGTTTCTGGGCCAGAGTTGGTGATGAGAGCACAGCGACGGCCTGAAATTTATTTTTCAAATAATTTTGAAATTTTTCTAGTTAAAGAAAAAGCTACCTGTCTCGCTTCCTCAGCTAGTAGGCGGTATTTTTCACTCATGGTAAGTGCCATATTACCCAGCGATTGCGGTTCGGCATAGGGCATGTCAGTGGCGGTTCTTCTGGAAATGAGCGCATAAAAGGAGTTGTGGGGAAGAGGGGAGCGGGGAGGAGGTAAGGGAGCCTAAACTTACCTAATATCTTCCAAATAAGCAGTAATCTTGGTCTGCGCATCAGCAAACGAAGCTCCTTGGGTAGCGACATGCATCATATCGGTACCGGCAATGGAATGCGAGATGGTCTCAACCATTCCTTGGATGACACCTGAAAAAATCACATATCACCCTCCTAGGGCTACCCAATACTGTTTTGACCTACCTTGCTCGCTGCTAATAGCGCTTACAGTACTTCTTATATCATCCAAAGCATCTTTCAGCATGGCAGCTGCTTCGTCAACTCTCGAGTGGGCCTCAACGGCCTGAAAAATTTTTTTTTGCATATTTTCCAAAATTTCCTTTACTATGGTTTACCTTAGGGTTACCAGCTGCATCTCTGCATGCGTACATCATCTGTAGCTCAGCTTCCACAACAGTTCTACACTTATCGAAAAGCTCAGCTTGTTGACGACTGTCCCTGGCAATGGCAGCAGCTTCACAAGCCGATGCAGCTAGGGGCTGGACGGTTTCCCAGTGGGCTTCAACGCAGTGTGGGAGAGCTTCGCCCTAGAAAGAATATTTTTTCAGCTCGGGTACGGTAGAAGTACGGTAATTTACCTTGCAAACAGCAGCAGTTCTTAGCTCATCCACTTTCTCTGCTAGGGCCTGGGCCGTGCAGAGAATGGACTGGTGGATTCTCTTCTCGGTTGCGCTAGACGATGCCTGGCTTTGGGCTCCGGTCATGTCAAGGGAGCTACGTTCAACATCAACAATGAGCTGGAAGACAGGGACATAAGTTAGGTGCTTTGCCACGGTAAACTAGGCCTCCAAAACCTATCACAGGGCTCGGAAATAATTTTTTGAAATAATATATGGCTGAGAAGCAGCATCCAGGCAGATTTTTTGATTCCATTTTTTGTCTTGCCCATGCCATTTCATGCAGCTGATTTCAGATTTGGAGCTCAAAAAGCGTAAATCCGCAAAATTCCTTTTTTCGAAGCTAGGTTTTGAAAAAACGTGGACGAGAGCTCCAGCGCCGTTGGCCTTGTCGAAAGCAAACATTAACGCATTAAACTGCATGCGTTCGATTGTGCCTATCATGTGAAAACGCGTCAAGTCGAGAAAATTCGTTAAAGGGGGCGGGCAGCACACCGGATTGGGCGGTCCGCGCACAGTTCTAATGACTTGAAGTCGATTTCATCCTTTTTTAGGTAGTTTTCAAAGATCGGGTTTGCAAAAAAGTTTTTTTTCAACTCCCAGCACCTCATTATGATAATAGCCAAGGGTATTCGAATCTGGCTGGACGCCGCCTTTGAGGGTAAGAAAATATGTGTACCTGCTCCAGCTGATGAATACATCTATCCATTTCAGCCTGTCCAGGAGCTGCTGCATGAATGGCGCTAACCATTCTCTTGATCGACTCGCTGACCTAAACTTACACCTATTTACCCACCCTCCAGAAATCTAGGTAATCTTACCTCTTTACTATTATCAGCAAGACGTTGCCATGTAGGAGCATCCATTGGTGCAATAGCTAGATGTTTAGCGGTACTGTAATGGGTTACTATGGAAACTGAGCGGAATTCTCGGACAACAAATGAGAGTACCTGATCATTTCACAGCTAGCATCGAGCATCTGTCTAGTCGATGTTAGCACCGGTATTTGAGCATCACGTCCCGATGGACTGATTCGTGCTGGCATACCGGCAAAGTCCGGATTATCCACATAGCTTTCGAGTTGTTCAGTAGCTGAGCGGAGGGTTTGCGCGGCTACTGTGCATGCTTCACGGGCTTCGGAACTAAAAGTGGGTCCTTCAGATTCATGGAGGACAATAATAGTTAAAGGCAATGTTTGAACTGAGGTTAGTGAGATATTGACGCAATACGATAGCGAGGCCCCCAACTAGGTAACTGCCCAAGTCCCACTGCAAAAGCGGCATTCCAAAGCAATAAAATTGCTTTAGAAGATGGATACTGCTGGGGTCGCCACACCCCTCATTATGGGTCATCTAAAAGTAATGAGCTCGAAACTATACTCAGTAGTACCCATAACTGTCAAGAAACCGCGAATAACTTTGAAAAACACATTTTCATATTCTGCAGTTCTGTTCTGGGTTCATCAGTTCTAGACCACCCGTTGTTGGTGGGCGTGGCGACCCCAGCAGCATCCATCTTCTGAAGCGATCTTCTCGCTTTGTAATACACTTCTTGCAGCGCGACTTGAGCAAGTTCCTAATTAGGGGCCTCAGTTCTGTTCTGCCTCAAATCTCATCAACTTTTGGGGTGCCTTCCAAATTCGGCCTTACCTAGGTCTGCTGTCAAGCTGTTTCACAGCAGTGATCAACTTAGCGGTGCCGGCAGCTACTTTTCCAGCGCAGTTGATGAATTCTTTCTTGACATTGACGTTTTGGGACTTCTCCGACGCCTCGCGACACATGTTGGCCAGATTGGAGGTGTGCTTGGCTACAACCGTAGCATCCTAAACCAGGCAATCTTAGTTGGATTTTGGAAAAAAGGAGTGGAAAAAAGGGAAAAGGCTTACGTCGATTATCTGCTCCTGAGTGTAGTTTTGCTGCTCGATACGTTCGCAAACTTGACGTACGAGCATCCCACTGCGTCGGACTCGACTTGCGTCAATGATGGCGGTTTCACCTCGGACACTCTTCGGGTGCGAAATCCCGATCAGATAAGCTGCCTGGGATGCGGACTCAGCTAGGGAGCAAACAGCATCGGCGGATTGTCTAAAAAATTTCAGTAGGCACAACGGTTACGGTAGGTGTACGGTAGGTATGTGTTAGGCATACGGTACATGGCGGCTTACCTAACACTAGTGCAGAGCGCTCGAGTATCCATAGCCTTAGCATTGCGAGCTATGCCAGTCATGGATTCGCCCAGATGTCGTGACTGTTCGGTGATGGTGTCAAGGCATCCAAAGTATGAGTTCGTGTTTACTGGTACATTTGCATGCTCTGTCAGGTGACGGATACCCTACAATCTCCCCATTACCTCATGCCCACCTTTACCTTTACCAAACCACAAACCTGAATCTGTCTAAGCGCAGCATCACACTCCCTCTGCCACGGCTGTTCCACTCCGACCTGCTCGACAATCTCGTTCACGGTCTCAACAAGCTTCCTCGATGACTGCGACAAGGTGTTCGTCTGCGTGATATCGCTCGAAGCAGCGCTTGCATATGACAGAAGCGAAACCGCCTCATCTCTTGCCAGTTCCAGATTGTCAATGGTCCGACGTCGAGAGTCCATGTCAGGCAAGCTCTTCACCGAAGCGATGACAGCTGCATGGAAATCGGTATATGTGTTCACAAAGGCATCGACGGCTTCTTGGTTGTTCGGTTGACGAACGGCGACGAGAAGCTGCGATGTGGCATCAACAAGTCGTGACGCAGCGACTCGGACATCCGATTCACGAACGGTAGTGGAAACACCGATGGTACGAATTTGAGCTATGGCCTTTTCGATAGCTTGGTTATCAGGAAGGCAGGCGATCACTTGGCGGAGGCTTGTTGATACCTGGAAGAGAGATGCTATTTTACGAACTCATACAGAAGAGAGGTGGGATGGGGTTGGAGGCCGTAGGGGATGGGGACTTGACTAAGCCAAAAAAAATCCGGGAAAATTTCTCCCTTTTTTCGACTTATCGGATCAACAAGAATGGTCATGAACTTCCGGAGGACTATGGCAGAACTTCCTCCCATGTGCTTCTCCACCTAATTACTGGTCAAAATTCAAAAAACGGGACTGATCGAAGTGATTCAGAAAGGCATGTTTCGGAATGTAGAGAATTTGAACGCCATAAAGTACAGGGAGAGGGTGGGCGGGAAGGGCGAGAATACTTTCCTAAGAATAATTCAATACCTGCTTAGCAGCATCAGCTAATACTGGTGGAGCAGCATGTTCACGTACGCGATCGAAAACTCTTCCAGAATCGTGCACGACCGAACGCGAGGACACGATGAAGCTAAAAAAGATTGCTGTAGTTCGTGCATTCTGCAAAATTCTGAAGCGATTTGTCAAGAAAAAAACAAGCGTTTTTCTTTTTCATAAATTAAAAACCCACGAGTCAAGCTGAATGTCATTCCTTGTCGCTACCACTTCCTTGACTCCAGTAGTGAAAGCCCTTAGGCTCTGAGCTGCTTCCACAGCCGACGCTCCAATGTGATGCTCGTCTTGCCCAGCAGCAGCCGAGACCAGTTGAGCTATGCTGCTTCCAACTTGTCTAGCTGATCCCATTAGATGCGAAGTAGCAGACTGGGAAGTTACACCACGAGGTGCTGACAACTGTTTCAGCTGGGCAGCTTTTTGGACTTCTACAAGTTCTTGGTCGAGTTCCTGGAAAGAAACGGGTTACGGTGGTAGTTAGAGGAGGGAAGAATAATCCAACCAACCTTGATAAGTTCCTCGCTATGGATCAACTGCTGGCTGAAATTGAGTTGTTGCGCAGCATTCAGAGCCGTTCTGAGCTCAGCAAGGTTAGTGGACAGACCATTGCTGGTCTGCTGGAGGTTGGAAGCGACATGAGGTTCGCTAACATGAGCCACTGAGGTACGGGCTACTTCCACAAGACGAGTAGCAGGGGCCAGGATCTGGAAAAAAAATTTCAAATTTTGCACGAAATTTCTGGGGATTGTTAAGCGGTCACACCTGGTGGGCATCCCTAATCAGGCGACTTTGAGCTCGGAATTTTTCGCTATCAGTCTTTGATTGTTGGCTTTCCCTGATGGAAGTGATTAGCCTGCAAAAATGACAATTTTCTTCATCACATTTTTTACAGCCTGTCTCGTTTCCATTGTCCCTTTTGTGTGCGATTACGCATCCGCAGCGCGAGCGCCTTGCGAGGCGAATGCCGTGACCAAAGGAGGACACTTGACATAGATTTCTAATTACTCACCTTGGCACATGTTCAGCTGTTTCAGTACATTCATACACCAGATTTTCCACAGTAGTTTTGGTCTTGATGAGTTCCTGGAATCAATAAATCGATTATTGATTGCCCAGTAAAACAGCGTTTAGTGTTATTTGAATTAATCAACGCACTCCGATTAGTAGTCTACTTCGTTCATTTACACAATTGTTTTTAGGATTTGGACACTACGGAAACCAAGGAGCACCGCACACCGCGACTTACTTGTTCCCAGCCCAATGTACGTGCTCTCTGTGCCCGTCTTATTTATTTTTGGGGAAAAAGTGAAAAAAAACACGTTTGGGGGAGTTGTTAGATTTATTCTAATCCCAAAATTTACAAATACAAAGGAAATGACACGAATATGGCAAGGGCAGAATATCGTTCGACGTAGGGCGATAAGGCAAAATTTGAAAGTGATTGGTGATTATGTTGCGTTGAAAGCGGACTAGAAAAACAGCGGCGAAAGAAGTGCGTGTAGCTCTGGCAGTGTAGGCGGGGCTAGTGCAAGGGGCGTGGCTTGCAGACTAAGATAGATACACAAGTGGGCGAGGCTTTGATGATATGTGCGGGCACATCGAGCAGTGTGGTTGATGTGGGGCTCTTAACGGATTCGTAATATGGTGTGCGTGTCATCAACTAGAAGCTGCTCCGTGATCTCCGTTCGTTTGTGCTCTTTCTGCGGTGGTGGTATGGTCACCTGAACGAAGCAGGCTACTCACCGGATCGCACACATTTGACCCACACACTTGGTAACATCAATTTTACACAGCCCCACATACTTTTAGAGGAATCATCGACGCAGACACCGCACTGCCTGCGGTCACTGCAGCGGCGCGGTTCTGAGCCGATGCGCAGGATAGAGATAGTTCGTGGATAGAACATACGCAGACGGTTACAACCGCCCCGCCGAGACGATGGTAATACATCCTTTTTTGTCCCGCTTGCACATTTTTGAAATTGTACTTCATTTTTTTTATGAAACTAATCTTTCAAAATGTTTCCAAGGTGCCAGAAAATTTTTTCTCGAGATGAGAAATGCTCATGTCGCCTTTATTAGTACAGAATACACAAAAAATCTCAAGCGATATCATTGCTATAGTCTGATTCCAGACGGAGGCGGAACCCGAATAAGCGAAGAGGACGCAACGTCGACGAACCGCGCGCAGCTACGCACCGCACGCGCCTCAACGATAATAGGTGCTCTACCGCTGCGTCTACGTCCGTTTCGCAAATTTAAACCATTCGCCTTCGTTCGGGACTAGACTTCACAGGACTTACTTTGCAAAGTGCAGCTTGAGTATAAATCAAAGCAAAAAACTAGTGAATTCACGATACTAACCATTGAGAATCAACTGGCTTGGCGGCTGGAAGGCGGGCTTTGTGATCAAATTAAGGACACTCGCGGCCGCGACGCAGTTTGCGTTTCTCTCATGCGCTCCGATCATTATCTAGCTCTCTGATCATTATCTAGCCTTAACTAGGTCACGAAGCCCCACCTTCCAGCCGCCAAGCCAGTTGTATCAAAGGGTACAAAATTTTGCGGATCTAACAAAAAAGTCAATAGTACATGAATTTTGTCCCCCGTGTCTAAACTTCTGCAACGATTTCTTAAGTATGTTAATTTGGTTAGAACTGTAACAATACATTGTTAACATGAGACCAGTTTCTGTTACTGAAGTCGTAAATACTGCAAAAGCGTGTTCAATGTAAAAAGTGATGAATAACTGGAAGTTTTCAGAACATAATTTTCTTTTGGAAATTCTCATCATTGGCGGCAGTCCTTTCTACGGAACTTTTGAGAACATCGACATCAAATTCATCAAACCGGGGCAATTTATAAGATCGCTCAGTTTTTCCGTGACGCCGCGGCTTTCCTCTACACCGCCCCTTTTTGGAGAAAATTTGGTTTTCCAAAATAAGAAGTTTCCCCTTACCTTAGCAGCATTAGCAGCAGCAATTGTTTGAGTGGCTTCGTAGGCAGTTTGACGAGCAGCCTGTTCGAGTTTTTCCATAATATGCTTAGCTTGTTGTTCACTTGTAGTCTCATTGGTCACCGTTACCAAACGTTCAGCCGCGTTTCTTAGCGCCATTTCCGATTCTGCTTCAGTTGGACGTGATTCGCATTCCTGGAGGAAATTCGAACATAAAAAATTGCAGGTTCTTCAAAATAACTATTCTTACCCTCGTGGCATCAATCATATCGCTAGTAGCGGTCGCGACACGACGAGCAGCATCCAATAGACGATCTTTCCGTTCGGGATGTTCATGAGCTTCATGTTCGAATTGTTCCATAAGAATTTGGCTATGGCGAATGACTTTCTTCGCTTCTCTGGTGAGGTCTTCGCTTGGACCCTGAAAAAAAAATCTCGCTCAAAATCAGCCTAGGAAATATTGTAATCAATAGAGTTTTCACAATTTCTTTGGCCAGAGTTGCCCACATACCGGAGCTCATACCAGCGCCTAGCTAGTGCCGTGCCGGAGTCCACTGCACGGGTGCGACCCGTATTGATCGATCCCGGCACGGTATAGGCACGGCGCTGGAACAGCGCTGGCACCAACAACTGTGAACGCAGGCTTAGCCATTTTCATATAGCCTCTAAGCTCTGAATTATTTCTTCTATTCAAAGATGGTAAAATTAACCTGATGAGCGATCAGTTTATGAGTTGTCCTTAGAACTTCATTATACTGCTCCTCTTCGGTGGTCTTTGTGATCTTCGGTGACGTCTTCACATGCTCCAAAAGGCTATCCAAAGCATGGGTGACCTAAATTTACATAACCCTTAATTTATGCAAAAATCGATCTAAATATGTCTCACCTGTCTAGCTGCCTCATGAATATCTTGAAGAGCTTGTCGACCATCCGTATGGCTCCTTTCGCACGCGTATTCTGCATCGTGCAAAAGTTCCGTGACCGCATGCGACACCTGGACGAATTGACCTTCACATTCCCTTACAGCAAGAAAAACCATAAATGTAATGTCACCTGTTTGGCCGCATTTGTAAGCTGTTCTTGACAAGCTTGGCTTTCGATGGTTGGCGCGACAACTCGGGCACACGCGACGAGTTGCGACGTCGCGAAAGCGCATTGTGTAGCCGAATGGATGACTTTTTCTTGGAGCACAGGTTCGTCGCATTCGGCAGAGATTGTTTTGGCTCTGGAAGAATAGCTACTGTAACGACAACTATACTCCATGACAACCTCTTTTTCTTGTGTAACAAAAGGAAGCTTTCAAAAAAGTTATTCATATTATGCGTAAAAATTACAAATTCCCAGTCAAACTGCAGTTTTTCAATCAAAATAATCATTTCCAAAAATTCTTGAATGATTCCCATGTGAAATAGGAGGCTTTGGTCGATATTATAACAAAACTTTTTTGTGACCACTGGCCAAAATCGATTTGAGTTTAGCGGGGATTTAGATTAATCCCAAAGATAATGAGTAACTAACTTATACGCACTAAAATTTGAGAAAAATATGCGACAAAGGTTATTACGGAGATGCAATTTTTGAAGGAAAAACTCAAAGGATATCAAGTGAAAATGGATGTTTTAAGCTACTAATAAGACACGATTCTAGTTAGAATTTTCCAATCTTGCAGAAAAAAAATATTCAGATCGAAAGGCATCACCTCGAAAGCCGGGCGACGTGAATCAATGAGTGAAAAATAATCCAATCTTTATCGAATTCATTTATTGAAGCAGTTAAGTGGAACACTTTCTTTGAAACGCAGGTTTGTTTGATTTTGATTCCGTTTCTAATTCAGCTGAAGCTTTGCAAATACGAAAATCCCACGGTTAAAATTCCAATGCCCACTTCTTTGCTTTCATCTCCCGTCTTTCGACAGAAATAAAAGATTGTAAACACGGTAAAATCAGTTATTTTCCCATTTGATCGGGTATTTCCCCATGGACAAGCTTTTTACAGTATTCTGAGCATTTTGTTCAGATTGGTTCCATGATGGTTGAGACCACATTTGTGACGGTCAAACCCAAAAATTCTAGAGGAAAAAGCATGGAGGTGGTAGAACTTGCGTCAATAGATTGATTGAACAATCTTATTGAACTGGTCTTAGTGGAATGTGCAATGTGATGAAGCACGAAAACTTTAACACAAGGTGAGGTTTGAAATTTCAAAATAAGAAAACCTATGTTTTTCAAGCCAATAGGAAACTTATTCTTAGGAGCAGAAATAATAAGTTGCAATATTTTTCCGAAGTAAAAGAAATAATGAAGAGATAATTAAGATGATGTACGAACCTACGAATCGGTCTCGGTGACACATAATAATTATAAACCCGCACATCAGTATAAATTTTCCGACGCATGGCGCCTCTGCACCTAGTTGCAAATAGTTAGGCGGGGGCCGGGCGAGGGGGTGGGGTGAGGTTCGAGGGTTCGCCTTCTGTTCGCGGACAGAATATGCGACGTCGCTCGAACAGATCCAGTAACGAGACGAGAGAGGACGGAACGGGTTTCTCCCTAACAGTGCCCGGGTGTCAGTAGGTGTAGTTACGTAATAACACAATTGACGTCGGCGGGGGGAACGAGAAGTGATGAGGAGCGTAGTGATCGCTACGTCTTCTAGGGCGGGTTGCGCATTCGCCGGGGGGATGGATAAGGATAGGGCGTTGGTTTGGGGGTGTGTTAGGGGACTGATACGCTTACATACACATACAGACAGATGGTAGCATGACGAGAGATAGAGAAACGAAACCGGCTTGATTCGGACATGCATTAGCTTAGTGGCGAGAAAAACTGCTTGCGATATATCAAAATTATCGCGATTACGACGGGAGAATAGAGGGTGGGAGAGGGAGATGGAGTGGCGGCGATTTGGCAGAAGTAGGCGGCTCGGCAGCAAATCAGCAGCAAGCTAGCGGCATGTTCTCGGCTTGGCAGCAGGATAGCTGCAAAGCTTGCGATTCATAGGCAACTCGCCGATAGACGCCCTAGCGGACCCACTGCGGGGGAGGGGGGGGGGGGGATGAGGCGGCAGCAAGTTGCCAACGAGTCGATAGCTGTTCGGCAGAATGCCTTTAGCAAGTTGGCAGCAAGCTGACAGCGACTTGACAGCATGTTGGCAGCAAGATGGCAAGTATAGTGGCAACCTGCGAATAAAAACTCATACTGCACCATAAATGATTCAGAATTAGAGAAGTGGTGGGAGATGAGGTGGCAGCAAGTTGGCAGCACGTTGGCAGCAAGTTGACAAGAAATTAGCAGCTAGTTGACGGTTAGCGGCGGGTTGGCAGCAAATTAACAAGTCGGCAGCAGATTCGCAGTTATGTATGCTGACAACTTGTTAATAGATACCCAAGCGAACACCACAAATGACTCAATTAATCGCAGGAAAGCGCTAGGAGGGAGCAGCAAGTGATTAGCAAATGGATAGCAAGTCGGCCGCGACTAAGCAGCAAGTTGGCAACGAAGTGGCAGCAAATTAGCAGCGTCGCAGCGAAATGGCAGCAAGTTGGCAGCAAGCTGGCAAATGCTGGCAACTCGGAAAAAGATATTCGAACCCATGTAGAATGACTTACAATCACCGCTGAAGCGCAATGCAGCAAGTCGAAATGACACATGCGAGAAGAGCGGCGCAAAAGCCATGCCAATCGCCCTATCGGATCTATTGTGCCTCCCGCAGGGAACCACCCTTCATCTTCCGAAAGATACATGGAAGACCCAACCCCGCGCTCTCCCCCGCCCGTGCACTCTCTCCGCGCTAACCAAGCTGTCAGCCTCCCAAGGGTGTGGTGTCAAGAGTCGCACACATTTGCATAGCATCCATCATTGGCAGCCGGCCAAGCCACCAACGACAAATAACCCCCCAAGGGGCATATGCGGCTCTCCGACAATTGCACTCCGGCAAGAAACGAGGGCGGCCCTTGTTCGACTAATAACGGAATTTCAAGCATTAGAACAATGAAGCTAAAGTTTCTTGGAAATCCCGCAAAAATAGAAACTTGCTTGAACTTCTGCAAAATTGAACTGAAGTTGCTCGAGACTACCGCGGAATCAAACTAAGTTGCTTCGAACTTTCGCGAAAGTAAACTAAATTTGCTCAGAACTTTCGTGGGAGTAAAAGCTTTTTGGGAACTTCCGCAAAACTGAATCGAAGACTTTTTGCAAAAACTTTCCAATTTTGTTTGTGATTTTCTTATTTATTTGCATTACATTTTGCAGTGCCTACAAGACTGTTTATATAAAAGGACTGGTTTACACTACCAAACGGATACGATTTCATCCCTCCCCCCTCCCCCTCTCTAGAATGGTTTAAGAATGGACTAACCTCAGGACGAGTTGCGCGGTGCTAGTAGCCACATTCTTCGCCTTTTGGACGAGATGATCGTGGAAGTATGATTGCTCATGCGTAGGCTCGTCCATGGTGTTGATCACCTGCTGCGAGAAATCGCCAACTCGTCCGGCTGCTGCCAAAACCGTTGTTCTCTTTTCCTATAATCATCAAAGGCTTAATCTTCAAGCAAATGAAAAAAGGAACCAGGGGAAATAAAGTAGGCGATAGAAAGCCTTTTTATGTTTTTTTTTTCAATATATTTGCCATCCAGGTTTTCTTCAGTGCAGTGCTAGTTTTCTGGATGTATTTGTACAATTTTTCAATACTTTAATATTCTGAAAAATTTATATTTGAGGGGAAAATTCAAGACTACCCACCTCATGTTCAGGATTGACAGCATGTAGAAAATCGCCAAATGCTCCACATAACTTACGTGTTGCTTCCACCAGATCATCTCTGCAAATGCATAACTTTACACTTTTCTCAGATCTAACATTTTTAATCTCGTTCACCTTCTTCTTTCCGGCATAAAGTGTGCTAGATCACGAACATTCCTTCCAACATCTGGAAGATTCGATCCAATGGTTGCAATAGCCGTTCCAACACGATCATCATATTCTTCTTGCACAGCAGTCCATTGCACCACCTGGAAAAACCGTACAGACTTATTTTAAATGGTAGAGATACGATAAGGGTACGGTAGGGGTACGGTAAAAGCCCCTACCTGAGCGGTGGCAGCACCCATAGCGGCCAAACGTTCATTGACATTTTCCTTATTGATGGTAACCTGTTCGTCCACCCATCTGAAAGAGAATTTTTACACGGCTCAATGTATACAATCCGTAGCTTCACAAATGGTGCTAAGAGCTCGAAAATCGCTCACTTCCTTCTCGAATAATCGTCATGGAATCGTGGCAGTTCAATGTGCGGCTCGCGTTCCAGCTCCTCTTCCGCTTCCGCAACCGATTTGATCGTCGCTTCGATTGTGCCAACCAGAGCACGTTGCGGATGCTCATAAGTGTCGAGAATATGCAGACGTTGAGCCTGGAATAGAAGTCTTCAGAAAAAAAATTTCACAAAAATATTCTACAGACCAGAGGACGAGTGGATTAGGATTGACCCTTGAAATTCTGCACAATTTTTTCTCAGCGCTATCTTGTGATTATTCGCGGCAAGTTAGGGGCTCTCTTCACAAATTCAACTACTTGCATGAACAGTGTAACATTTTCTACTATAGAACTTTCTTAGTTGCAAAAGTCGCGTGGAAATTAGGAATTACAGGGTTTTCCAAAAATAGCATACTTTAATCCGCAGTGGGTTGCAACTCATCAGATTCTCACATTACCTGACAGAAATGATGAAAGCAGCAGATATACAGGAAAACTAATTTTACGATCCAAAACAAGTTTAGCTTGCCTTTAGAATGGGTATGAAGAGCAATTTATCGAGTTTTGGCCATTTTTCACGCACAAATGTTGTCAGCACCGCGGGGGCACTATTCGAACCGTTTATCTACTAGTTCAAATCTAGCAAGGCCTTAATTCTCCACTGCACTTCAAATTTCCTGTGATTTTTTACCTTCTTAGTCTCGCTTCTTAGAATTACCAACTTCATGTAATTTTATGTCTTCCTAGACATGATTGCCAGCTTCAAGCAGATATGATAAGAATGGCATAGTGAGAACACAGGAGAGCGGGGAGGGGAGGGGGGGGGGGGTTGAGCAGAAATTGCTGAAAGAAAGTTAGGGATTAATAAGCGATCATATTATAACGAATATAGGAGATAATAAATGGACATATTCAAAGGAAGTGACAATTTTTATCTTAATTTATCCTCACTCAAAAATTCTAAGCATTCTTGAATATCCACTCCATAACATGGGAAAACAATGAAGGATATCAATTCGATCGTAATGATTCTCTGATGTTAGCAAAATATTTATTCTTGAAATAGGATACGAAGCTGGGGTTGCATATCGCATATTTATGGATCCCCTAGCTTGCTTTCACAACAAGATTTCTGACCGCGAAATGATCAATCAACGACGTAAAAAAGGGAAACTTGGGATTTTTACTGATTTTGTCTCAAAAGTTTCCCTCATGAGAACGCGATAAATTATAAGAAATCTTTGGAAACTGACAAAAAAATTGCAATTTACCAAAATCTTGCAAAAATCTCATGCCTAAGCATCGGCAACCGACACAGACAGGGGCTCTACGCCTCGCTTGTCGTCGTTCAATGAGCTCCCGCCTATTCAACACAGAGCGGACGACGAGAAACTTGCTTGAAGGGCGCTCAAGCATACCAACTTCTTCTTACACTTTCTCTTTGCAGGACATTCCAAGGAGAACGCATTGAGAGCCCCCATGAACAGCTACGTGTGGAAAAGGAGAAGTGGAATGGAGTTTTCGATGGAGCCAGGAGGCGGAAAAATTTCCAGGGAAGAAAAAAGGAGCGGCTTTAGGAAAAAAATCAGAAATTTAGAACCAATAATTCCGATAAATGAATGTTTCAATTAATTTATAGCAGTCCTGAATGCATAAATGCAAAACTGTCACATTGGGATCGATTTTTGTGGGAAAAGGTTGTTTAAAAGGTGAAAACCATCCAAAACTTTACAACATGTACTTTGAGAGTATTGCTCGATCACAGAAATTATCAAAACATCATTCATCTCTTTGAATTTTTGTGATACTAAGAAATGACATGATAAATTTATCCAAATAAAGAAATAAAAAATATAGTTGAGTAGAAAAATGACTACAAATTTCTGCTTGCAAATTTTTCCAAGTTTTTTGTCTAGAAGGCTCGAAAAAGCTGCTAAATCAGATTTTTTTTGTCTGGCCTCAAAGACTTCCACAAAACTAGGTACCCGAGAATTTTGATGTAAAAAACAGCTGCAGAATTTCAATATAAAAAATAGCTGCAACTTTTCTGCCCACAAGTTTTCTAGAATTTTAATTCCAAGGTCAAAACCGATAGAAGTGTAAAGTCTTCCCATTAGAAGCTGAATCAAGATATTTGCGCGAAGGTGAAGAAAATTTAAGCGAATGAATTTTTGCCAAAATTTCTAAACAAATAAATTTTTGCCAAATTTTCTAACCTCAGGGAACTTGGTAGAGTTACGTGGGCTATGGAGGCTAGAAAGGAGAATTTCTTGTTCAAAGTCCACCAAACATTTTGAGCAACTCCGAAGAAATGAATGAGAAAAAATATTTGCACTCTTTTGAAAACAAAATTACTTTTCAGTTCCTTGGAGTTTGACTGACTAAAAGAAAACAAACATTTTCTCGTCTCGAAATCTAATAAGATAATTTAAAATATTTCTGAGAAAATCAAGTAAATGAAGAAATCTTTTACAACATTTTTCGCTAAATATTTCCAAAATTTCAAACGTTCGGGCCTTGGATATCCAAAGCCTCTATTTAGAGAAGGGCTAAGGGGCATCGTTAATGAAGCACTAAGCAACATATTGTCAAAAGGCAGAAGGGGAGGGGGTTACAAGACCTTTGCAACAATACGGGAACATTGCCCAAATCAGCCGACAATGGGCAAATTCGGCGTTACCATAGCTGCATCGGCAATAATTGACCACCGCTTAGCCCCCATCGAATCGGACGAGCGGGCGGGTGAAACACGAGACGTGCTAATTCTCGACACCAATAATTCACGGGGATTGGATGGGTCGGGAGGGGGGGGGGGGAGGGAGAGGGCAGTAGAGTGACAGCGTAATGCGAAGGAAAGATGGAACATTAGGCTAAAGATGATTTTCTATAGAAAAAAAGTAGAGGAAGAAGTAGGGGAATACTGCCGTCAAGCGCCGACCACGAAACTACTGATCATTTCGATGCTGATAACTGCTCCTTATACAATACATTGCCGCATACCATATGAGGAACAGTTGTCCAGGCTGCGCTAATGACGTTATTTGTCATTCTAATCTTTTTAGAACTCAGAACCTAAGAGAACTCCCAAATTCCAAAAAAAACTTACCCTTCCAAGACTTTGTTGTTGAATTTCTCCGCTGACCGCACCGTATTGGGCACCGTTGATACCGTAACCGTAGCCTTGTGGTTGCTGTTGTGGTGTGCGCAAAACGCCCCGCAGTGCAACATGTCCATCTTGTGCATGCTGCCCGGCACCGATTTGGCCATGGGCAACCTAAAATTTTACAAGTTAACCTAGGTAAATGCCCTGAGGTTAAGAACACTTACCAGGGTTGCCTTAGCTGGAGCTACCACATCTTCCAGCATAGTGGAGCCTTCATCTCCCTCAATACCTAGATGGTCCCGCATGGCTTTCTTCTTGACTATGATGTCGATGTATCCAGCAATGAGTTGTCCAATTTTTTCACCATCAGAGGTTTGCACCGAGTAGTAGCCATCTTGGTAGTCACCGAAGTCCTGAAACGGAAAAATTTTACAGAAATTCATGATTTCTAGGGATAGAGGTAATAACAACAATGTGCAAATTTTCTTTCGGAAATCACGATAATGCTACCGAGTAGCACTTGAGAAGTCAAAAAAATTATTTAACGATTATTCGTGCTATTTTCAACAACATATTTCATCCACTAAAAGATTTTATGCATTTTTAAGCTTTAAAGGCATTTTCCAGGAACCTTATAAGGTTATAAGACCACTTTCTACAAGTTCACATAAATGTAAAATTTCTCATTTTTCTCGCACATTTTCCCCTGCTCAACCCCGTATCTCAAAAGTACATTACATCCCAAGAAATCGGCAACACTAGTCAATTCAGAGCTGATTTGCACTCAAGCAAGCTTCCGCCATGCCCACCTCGCCGAGCTCTTTTTTCTTTGGACAAGCAAAAGCCTGAAGCCTTCCTGCAAGGTATAGAGAATTTGAAAGGAAGGAGAAATTTTGAGGGGGGAGTCAAAATATTCTTCAGCCTGTTTTGAGCTTTATGAGGTAAGAATAGTTTTTCTTGATAAGAGAAAGACTTTATAAACTTTTCACAAATATGAAGTCAAAATATGATTGAAAAAATAATTTTGCTTTCCACCTACGTACTATTCGCAGATATTCGAAAAATCTGTGTTTGTAAGGGGCGCCGAGATTTGTTGTGGGACTATAGCACATTTCTGAATGTTATTGCACCAGACACACTCTATTTTACGTCATATTACTGGGAACTTTGAAAAAAGAAAAGCTCAGACGCCACTAAAAAATTCTAAACTGTTTTTCTAGCAAGGAGTAAAAGGGAAATCTTTACACTAAGTTACCAGATTTCGTGATAAATCAGTAGATGCGAATAAAAAAATTTATTTATTAGATTTGCATAAAAATCTGTTCAAACGCCGACACAGGAAATGTCCAAAATTTTCTGCCAATATTTTTCCTTTCCCTGAGGGTAGTTTTGAGGAAAGCCAACCAAATTTAGCATCCACCCCGTAGCACAATCTCGCCCCCCCCCCCCTCCCCCTTCATTTGCAAGTCGACCGAATAAGTAATGTTATTATTACCAAAAGCAAATGAGTACATACCAAGGTGAATGTCCTTGGTGAGGTATTCCATCGACGAACTTGCTCGAGTGGCCATTCTTTGAGCACATCTTTCGTCTTTTCGTCTACACGCATCACACATTCTTTGTTGACGCCAAGAAGTCGTGGCACGAGTTTGTTCTTTCCGAGTAGCTTTTCTGGAAAAGAAAAAGAGTTGTGGATTTGGTTCGTAGGAGATAGTGCTGTAGAAAGATTTGGATTTGGGTCTTAGAAATCAGGAAACTCACATAAACTCTGGGCAGACTAGGAGAAGGGGGTAGGGAGGTCTCATTAGCGTAACGCGATAAACGGGGGGGGGGGGTCATGAGCGAGATTTGGTGGCAGGGTGGCAGCAGCAGCAGCGGCGTCACTGATGGAGGTCGTCGGTCGTGTCGCGGTGGCGTCCGAGCAATGGAGCGAAGCGAGGCGAGCAGCCCCGGCATTTTAGTGACGGGGTGGCCACTCGCCCGCCCCGCACACCCGCCCTCCCTCCGCTCCTAGTTCGAACCTCATTGAATTGGCAGGCTAATCAGAGACCTCGCGGTCGGCCAGCCAAATCTAGTTTGCGTGGAGTAAATGGCGAAATTTGGGGCGACGATGTCAGCGCCGCCGCGCACAGCGAGGCGCCGCCGCCGCCATCGGAACCGTCTCCGCCACCGCAGAGGCGGCAGCTGATAAGCGTTGGGGTTCGACAAGCCAAATAGCCACTGCTCCTTCTCGATCGCGCAAAAGCTGAAAGAGCGACGAATAGCCGAACATCCCCGGGGACTCGGCAGAAAGCAGGGCTGGCTCTCTGTGAAACACTTCTATTCACAGCTTCACCGGCGCCTCCTGACTTTGTTAGAAGAGAGGCGGTGCAAGTGCGTGTGTGGGGGTGCAAAAAAGCCTAAAGGTTTTTGCAAGGGTGGTACTTTGGAGCTCGTACAAGAGCAGATTTGTAAGAAAGCAAATGTACCACAAAGGTGATTTCTTAGTAGATAAGAAAAGAAAATCTGGAATCCTGACATATGTGTGTCGGGTAAAATTCCATAGAATCTCTTATAATGAAGAGACACCAAGGAGATGTCTTTGAGAAAGGATCTTGAATCTTTCCAAAATAAAATCACCGAAAGAGTCTATTTACATTTTTTGTCAAGAAAAACAAGTCAAAGTATGTAACTGCTCGATATAGCAAAAAAACTTGCAAGTGACAAAATTCAAAAGGTCGGTAAATCTTTGCAAGAAATTTCCAGAGACTTCTCACATAGACACGATGATATTTCAGTAGAACTGTTTCGAATTTTTCTGTTGTTCCAAATGCCGTTGATTAGTTTACCTGCAGTCAATGTGTTGGGTTGGTCCATAAGTCTTGCACCAAAATTTTTGGAAAATCGTAAATTCATCCTTTTTGATGAATCGATTTGATTCTGTATGGGATAGAAAGAGAAAATCATGTACTTTCTAAACATGCTTAAACATCGACATTTGTGTTTTCCAGAGCTATAAGCTGTCAGAGAGAAACACACAAATCATAATTTTTCAAATTTTGTTCGCTGAAAATGTTAAAAAGCCCAAATAACAATTTTTTTGAAGTGTGGTGTACCGACCTGCTCTCAAATTGATAAAATTTCATAATAATCGGATTTGTCTACAGACTGTTCTTATTTTTGAGTTCCTCTAGCTGACATTTTATTCCTTTCTTATAAAGCTAGTGAACCAGTAATCGTAAAAGTGCTGGATTCGCAGGCGCTTTCGCTGCGGGAGCCTCAAGGTTTCCCACAATTTCACCTCTTCAAATAGGCACTACGATTCTTCACATATAGACCTCCAGCATGCATAGCAAACTGAAAGACTTGTAATCACGTTGCAAAAAGAATTTCGGGACATATTCAACGAATTTTTTTGTATTTTGTGCAAAACTTACGGCTACTAATATTTGTTTAACTAAACTAAGCATTTTCACATATATGTGTGAAAATTATATGTTTGTATGTCGCTTATACGTAATAATTGAAATAGTGTCTGCATGTTCCTTTGAAATTTGATACGAACAATTCAAACACTAACCTTTGACTAGGAAGAATGTGACGCCATAAGTTTTTAGTCCGCGACACATGTGCACATATTTGCTTTTCGCATCCAGATCTGATGTTCCGGACAGCTCTTTGTAACGCTGAAAAGCAGGAAAATTTTTTCGGATATGTGAAAACTCCCGTTATTTTCTGGACAACTCTAGTGATTAGACAAAGAAAGCTGAACCTGGCAAAAATCAAGTCTGAGTTTTCTTTGCCAAAGTTTTTCCAGTAAAATACTCAGATTTTATAGCCTGAAATGCATTCAAGGGCAATAGACTTTATTTGGGAATAATGAAAATGTTCTGAGAATTTGAAAGCAATGGAGTCGTTTTCGATTTATAGATTTTTGTTATTTTCATAGAATTTTTTTGTTATTCAACAGAAAGAGCTAAATGTGAGTAAAAAATCGGATCTAAATTCGTTTTCTTTAAAAATGCTTACCATAAAAATTCCCAGACTTCAAGACAAAAATGCATTTTCTGTCTGAATGTTGATGGTTTCTTGAATTCCTTCAAGACTAATAAAGAAGAGATGCGTGTGGCTATACAAATCTATCTTTTTTGCAAAAATCTCTCTCTAAATATAAACATTCAAGGCAATAAAAATGCATTTGAACAATAGATCCTTTCAAATTTTTTATAATGATTAAATTGTTTCCGGTAACATGAAATTCCCCTTTATTCGCGAAATTCTAGATTATCAAATTCATAAGACAAACACATACATTCATAGCTTATATCCTAAATCTTTTAACGTTGGCTAACGTCCAAAAACAAAAAAAAAGCCGTACCTGAACGATTTTCTTCTCGTTTTCCTTGCTCTTTGCATACTCTTTGGGCAAGAAGTCACGTCCTCTGAAATATTTTTATTGAGTTCGAAGATCTGCAAGAATGATGAAAGTTCAACATATATCTGAAGTTAATAAGTGAGGAAAATTCCCTCCATAAATATTTTTTTGATAAAAAAGGTAAGAAACTTTCTTATTTTTATCTGGAACATTTCTCGATCTCTAGTTCTCACATTTGTAATTGCTCCATTGGAGTTATATATTTGCATATGTATACATAAATTTACGTAAATGGACATTTGATCTAACAATAAGAGCCAATAATAGCAATTTCTGCTCTTTTCGCGCTGTACAACGTCACCCAGAGGAAAAAAACGTGCTCCATTTCAACTGCGACGATTATTTCATTCACAGGTTATAAAAAATCTTGCATCAACCGTGGGAAAAAACTATTAATGAGGCTTTTGAGGTCATCTATCGCTACTTGGTTATGAAGGTTTTCTAATTATAATTAATGATCAATGGCGATTTTTTTCGAACCACCAACGTAAAACCCGTCAATTTTCGATTTGGACCCGCTGATTTTGCAAGAGAATTGTCAGAAGTGTTCTATACATATATGTCTAGAGTATTCGTAGAATTTGAGAGAGATTCGGGAGGGAAGGAGAAGCTCGGCGTCCGAGCTGCCGAGTGCATCCGGCCTCTCAACGCACGCAAATTGCTCGACTGTGCCAGCCGTGATACGAAACAATGATGAGAGGGCTTCGAGGCTCGTGTAAGGAGAAAGCTCGAATGGACCGTTGATGGCGTTGGAGAGACTGCTTCTTCAATACTACTTAGCCGAAGAAGTGCTTTTATGTCTTTCGAATAGATAGAGATGAGAAATCAAACGAATAGTGGGGATAGATGAGCAAAAAAAGAAATTAGGTTGAAAACCCTCAAAAAACTAAGTTAAAAACCCTTATCCAAAGTCTTAAAGTGCTCTATAGGTGATCTATTTTATACGAAAAAATCTAATAAAAATCTTATCTCAAAAATGCGCCAAGAATCCTAAATTATAGTATGCTAATTGCGACAAGAAGGGCTGCAATGACAATAGCCGCTCGCGCGCCGCGCTGCATCGGCTTAGCTTATCTGGACATCGCCTTCATTCAGCGATAAATTATACCCTTAGGATCAACACAAATAATTAAGTGTAAACACAATACTATATCTATCAGTACTACCACCATAGCGCTTATAAAAACTATCCACACTATCACGGTTGAGGTTCTCGACATTGTGTGTAATTGCACTATTTAGAGTCTAAGGTCCACTCTTGGACGAATGCGATTGCGTAAGTAAACAAAGCTGGCGCAAACAAGGCTATATCACTTTCTATGACGTGGGAGGACAGTGTTGTTGTTATGATAGCCGCCCGCTCGCCGCGCTGCACCTGCTTAGCTTATTTGGACAAACGCCTTCGTCCGGTAACAAGCTATAAACTGGCGCATAAATTTTTTAGTTAATGTTTAACATCCACTAATTCCACTAATATATAGTATTTGTAAGAAAAGTACGAAGAATATTTCGTTAGTGATGGTTGAGCTTTAGGGTAGTTTGTGTGCAACTGCAGCTACATTACATAAGTATCATGACAATGAACTCAACTCAAAGAATTTGCATATTCACCTTCAAATAATAATTGAGATCTCTTTGTAAAATTCCTTTAAAGTTCCCGTATTTCACATTTGCAATCAAGAAAATCCACCAGTTTCGATTTTTTGATCACAACAATTTTCATTGTGATTACTGATTTTTGCACGTATTTTATGATACTAGCTAAGGTCCCTAATTATAGCTGAAATCTCATAATTTCACCTAATATCTCAAAGTGAAAGAGTTGAAGCTTCAAAAGGAGTAAACTCACTCAATATAAAATTTGGGCTTGTTCTCTGGGAAATCACCATATTCGATCTGACATTGGAGGGCTCCCAAATCGCAGGCGATTTCTTTTGTGACTGGATGGAGACTCTGAAATTGTGCATATATATTTTGAATCAAGTAAAAGTAGCGCAACGACTTACTCGTAAGATTCCATCACGACACTGTACGTAGAGCAGATTCAACTGCACTGGGTCACGGCTGTCTACGTTTGTATCGCTGAAATGATTAAGCAAGTAGCAAATGAGGAAGTGAAAACGTCAAAAAAGTGCTTCAAGACAATTGAAAGTTATATGACTTTTTTGGTCGTAAGCTAGTTTGCTGAGATTTCCTTCCACGCATGAATGACGATGCTAAAGACTTTGCTGACGTCAACTCTCGCTTACTTCTCAAGCGAGAACTTCAAAGACAAAGTTTGAATGGAGAAATGAGTAAAGTCTAGGAATCTAAAGATGAAACACTTTATTTTCTCAGCAGTACCCATAACTTTTGAGAGACAACTATCTGCAAGATTTCTACTGAAATCTAGTTGAGCATGGGTATAAAAACGCATTTCATAGCAACAAAATTTGTCTCCATGAACCTTCTTTCTTGTCTATCTTCTCTTTCTAACAAACTTCATCAACGTTATCAGTGAAGATCAGTTTCAAAAAGCTCGGTCGTGGATTTACGTGTTTGGTGCAATTACACAGTTCTATGCTCTAATTTCAGAATAAACCAGGTCTACCTGGTCTCGTCAGAAGTACTTTTCTTGTTGTTCCATATCGAATTATTCGTTCTAATTTTCATTTATTTCTTTCGAGATATTTCATGAAAGCTTGATTTATCCAAATGCAAAGAAATGTTTTCAATAACTTCTGGCTGTTTTCAGGAGAAAGAGAAACGCAAGTCGGTCCTAGCTAAGAAAATCCAAATATTTCAAGCTTTTATATTTGCATTCTCTAAAGAGAAAGAATCGAAATACTAGCAAAAAAGGCGAAAAAGCAATCACTCAAATAGAGTAAATCAATTTGAAATAGAAAAGAATCTGTAAATTCAATCTATAAATAGCTGATTTTCTTCTACATTTTCCAATAAATATGGTAAAAAATCATTTTTTCAAGAGTGCATATGATGAAAACTTGATTGATCTAGATGAGATTATTCTCACAAACTTCTTTAACGAGGATAAAGCAAAAACAACCCCCAACGGTTAATAATGATTGCTGGTTCGATATTTGCATGCTTATAAAAAAATAAAACTACTGAGAACATTGTTTAAATTTGTCTTTGATTTCATCAATGAACAATTATGGTACTTTTCTTGTATGATATACCAAAAACTTCATCAAAACCAACCTGAAGAAGTATTTTCGTCGTAAAAGCAGTGTTTCATCTTCTCCAATACCCTGTTCTCGTAACGTTTTGCTATGATCCACCCAAGCCATCTCTTCATCAGTATGCAGTTTTTGCCTGGAAAGAAAAAACTTTGTCATTACTGAATGCAAGTTTTTTCGAGTTGTTCATTTGTACTCCCCGAGAAATTTCATAATGACATCACTGTACTCAGGGATTTCAACGTAATTAACAAGGGTTTTTTGAGGCTATGAGAGCATGGGGTATTTGTTACTTTAGTAATTTGCAATTGTCATAAAAATAAAATTGCGCTACAATAGGCATAGGGTTAGGCCTAGGCTATAAGCCGAACTTATGGGAAGAAGTAAACTTAAAAATGGATTTTATCGACATATCACATCAAAGAACTTATGCTACAAAGTCAAGAATTCTCTAATAAGAAAGAATTTTTGGCACTCTGCCGAACTGACTAAGAGCTGTGAGTGCTCTACTATCTATCCACACCTCAATCATCACCCATAACCTACCACGATCCATTTCTGATGCTATTACTGCAATATCTCATCTTCAAAGTAAACACTTTCCATCAATCATTTCTCTTTGCAGATATGCGTTTTGAGAGCTGAAAACGTCTCGAGAAAAAGATAAAAGCACAGGTGACAAACCGTAGTTGTTCGAGTTTTTGCTCTTTTTTTCTGCCAAGGGTGCCCATCATTCCTTTTCCTTTTTCTCCATCAATGACACGGGATCGGTCATCTTTAAGATTCATCATGGATCCTCGTGAATCTGGTTCGGTTGCACGGACCTGAGGAAAATAAACTGAGATGCAAAATTAAAAGTTTGTGTTCAAATTTGACAAGAATTCTGTATAACTTGCCAAATTCTTGACAAAAAAACCGTAAGTTGTGGGAACTACGAGAAATTACACAAACTACTCCAAAAAGTACGGTAATTTACTCCACGGATGGAAAATTCGGAACAAAAACTCACCAAACTATACTCTTCGTAGTTGGAGATACCTATTTTCGTGCAAACGCCAACCATTAGCTGTCCGACTGGTTGGCTCTCATCCACTGGAATCGTTTTTACTGAGCCATCCAGCATACGTACTTTTAGGAGACGAATCTTTTTTCGATACTCTACTGTGTCCTGGAAAGAAAATAACTTTCTTAGGAGAAAAGCCCTGGAATTTTACAACTTCCTCATTATGACCCATTTTACAAGTGTTGAAAGTAAATGACATAATCTTTGATTTTGAAATAGCTAAAAAGGACGCTAAGTTTTACTTTCTTATTCAAGAAAAATTTCAAAAAAAAATCTATTCTGACTTCTAGTTCCACATATAATAGCTGAAGGAGATGAAGAAGGTGAAAACAAGATTTTAATGATGTAAAAAAAATGCCCATTCCCAATTCAAGATCTTTCTCAAAGTATAACCAAAGTAAAAAATTTAACCCAGAATCTTCTACCACGAGGAACAAATATCCTTACCTGATGACGTATTAAATAATGCTCTAGTGAGTGTCCATTCGCTAACCAAGCGCATTTCGTTGGATCGTCGACAATTCTCATCAAACCATATTCTTTAGCTGAAAAAAGAAAGAAATTTACCTAGGTCTCACCATTATTTTTGTTCGTCTGAGGACAAGGGATGTGCAGATGTCAATTTTTGCTTCATTTTATGCTTAACCCTTGGAACTGCTAAATTTCATGGTCTCAAGTCAGAACCAAAAGCAAACAAGGGCATTACAATTTTTCCGTATTGACAAGATTTCTACCATCCCTTCCTCCCTCCCATTCGGTCTGGATTTGAACATAAATTAATATCTCGATAGTTTCCCTATCATCAAAAAATGAAACCATGTGCGGTACACGGAGGAAAAAAGATTATCCATCTGATGGCTAACTGTCCAATTCTTATCCAACTTAGGAAAATCTTTCTGTCAACTACCTTCCAAGGGTAAAATTCAGGTGTTATAGTAGTATAGCCGCTGAATGCTGTAACGACAATTAGCGGTGGTATCTCAGAGGATGTGCATCACAACATCCCATCAGAGAGGATCTTTATGAAGATTAATTATTGGAGCGCTGTTGTAGTAATGAGTAATTTTCAGAGAGAATGGACTATAAACGGGTCGCAAATGACATGTAAATTTTCTTTGAATTTGCTCAACAAACGGCCATAGGAACAACTGTTGATTTCGAAAGGGTGCTACAAACTTTTCGCAGCAAAAAATGATGTTTCTATGGCATTAGCGATATTTAGACATATTAAGTAGCTTTTATAGATGTCTGAGGACATTACGTCCACATCGTCGTATTTTTTTACAAAGTAATGGATGATAGTATTTTATTTGAGAAAAGTAGCAAAATGCGGGCAGCTTTTAAGTAAAAAATGTAATGCCGATAGAAATTATGACTATTTTGGCGAGAAAATCACAGGTTCAGAGAAAAAAAACTACATATAAATCATCAACCTCAACAGTTGTTATGGTGATCAAAAGTGGTCCGACTTAGATTCCTCAATAACTTTGATTTTTCTCAGTATTTTTGATTCAATAGTAACTTATTAGAAATAAAGGTTCATTTCACTTAACTTTCTCCACGTGAGATTTTTGCGGAGAAAAAGGATAAGAGCTGAAAGAATCATCTGTGGAATAAATGAGTACTTAATCATCCTTTCTTTGTTTCTTCCTTATTTTTTTGCAAACAGTTTTGATTAGAAAAACGGTCAAAATTTGTTGTTTTCGATTCCTCTACGAAAGCCTGCAGCTACAAATTACTTTTTTCTTTTCAAGATTGTAGCTATATACACAATTCCTCTGATATAATGTCTTAATCCCCCGGCTGGCGCGCGCCAAAGCTCTTCCACTGCCATCGCATCAATCACAGCGGCGAAACTCGGACCGCGCCTCCGCCATCTTCGTGCACTCTCGTCCGCAGCTCCTATAGTGTGGTGTGGTGTGGCTGGTGGCCCTATCCTCTGCCAAAGACGAGACCGAGATCGATTCTCGGGGCCAAGCAAATCCTGGACAAGGTTTCTGGCAACTATACGCGGGGGGGGGGGAGTGTGACAATCGCATTAGCGCTAGTGACCAGCCGTAGCCAGTGCACTATGTCAGGCTATACACCGGCTTAAGCTGGGTAAAAACAGTAGGTTTCTGAGAGTGTGGAATCACTGGCAAAAGGGAAAAGAACAAAAAATTACTAGTACACTTAGTCATGCGATTTGTGAAACCTGCAAAGCATCTTGGGGCTATAGGCGCTTTTCATCAGGTTAGAAGTATCAAATTACCAGATTTGCAAGGTGTCAGCAAGAACGGAAGTAAGGAAATTTGAGCACAAAAATTCAGGAAAAAATCATTATCACTTGCAAAAGGTCATACAGATTCGGAGAATGTATTATACATGAAAATCCGTTCAAAAACGGAACGATAAATAATTTCCGAGATGAATCAACAGACTTTTCAACAGACTTTTCAATAACTTCCAATAAACTTTCAAAATCAGATGCAAACAAGAATAGATTGCTACTTCAAAATTAAGAACAGAGCCATGTTACTTACAGCATACGAAATCAGAGAATCTCTCTGCTCCTTATTATTACATACAGAGGTCTAATGCAAATGAGAATAAGTTCAAAATTAGTTCAATTATTTTTTCGAAGCCGAGCGCTTGAGTTAAAGTGGACTGTGATGATGATTTCTTATTAATGGTAATTAATAAGTGGATCAGAATGTCATAAAAAAATTAAATCCACTTGCAAACCGCTCAAATGCATTTTCCAAATTTGGACATATTGTATTCAACAATTTTTTTTCAAGCCGATATGACATATTTCTTCATGACCCATGATTTTTGGGTTCCATTTATCCATTTTCTCCCCCCATCCCGGATACATCCAAACCCACCGAATCCCGAAGATCTGCAGCGGATTTGGGCTCATCTATGCACAAATGAGGTATTATAAAATGCACAACATTCGGCATTACGAGGACAATGGTCACGCAATGCACTGTGATGACGAATAGTGCTGGGGTGGGGGGGGGAGGGGGAGGGGTAAATGGTCATTTGAAGAAGTTCCAAATAAGCTTCTGATCAACCTTGCTGTGCTTTTTCTAAAATAATCTGGAGAAATCAGTCTGATCTACTGTACGGAGGAAAAGTAGGTCACAACTCAAAGCTACAGTAACCCCGCGGCCATGCCCTACGCATTACCGTATCCCCTGCGGCACGAATTCCTGACGCATCCCTCACGGAAAAAAATGCGAGCAAATGGCTAGCAAGCAGCCACTGCAGTGCAAATCACTGTCATTTATCCGGTGAGCTGCTGGTTTTCAGCGCCTTTCACTTCGGCGCCAAATGCCATTCCATCATCATCGCCCTACGGCCAAGAACGAGCAAAGCTGAGCTCATCTCTGCGCTAGGTGATATGCGGCCCCAATGGGACGATGGCGATTACGTCGAGAGAACGAGACGACTTTCGACGAAGCAATGAACTCCTTGGGGAATTCGCTAGCCGGGAAAGTTCTGAGTGAAGGATTGGTGCAATTAAAATTGCCGACGGATGCACCAAGTTCGAGAGAGGATAAGGCACTCGATCATGAGAAAGAGAAATGGGAAGAGAGCTGGGAACAAGGATAGATTTTTGGAAAGGGAGTCTCTGTGGGATAGTTAGTGGCTATTTTTAGTTTGCAGGATTTTTCGCACAGCCCAAAGTTCTTACATACATTTTCCAGTATTACAGTTTTACCAGAATCAGTGGTGCTGGAAGCAATGAGAGGTCAAAAACATTGCTTACAAATTTTCACTGTAGAGAAAGACCGACTAATCGTAAGAATCAAAGATAAAATGTATGTAACAGAGGGGACGGACTTGATTCACTGACTGTATGTGAAGAATTTTTTTTCAATATTCATATTTTTTCGAGCTTACATTAGATGAGATTTTTATAAACAACTCTAAGGTTGCGGTTTTCATGCTAATACTACTTTCATGCTACTAATATCACTATCAGTCAAGAAAGCAATTCTTCAAGATTAATGCAAACCGTCGTATTACGATGTCATAAAAGTCGTGCAAAATCTCGTCATTTTCAGTAGAGTCAACAACAGCAAAGATAACGCTGATTTTAACCATGATTTGCGACTTCGAAACGGAAACGGTTTCAAAATATGCAAGGACTCCAAAAATGATGTTCAAATGGAAAAAAACTGTGATAATCAGTAAAATTCCATTCTTTTTTTACTATAATATCCTAAAATTCCAAAAAGCTTGTGAGAAAACGACATTCAATATAGCTTTTGCACCTATGATCAGCTCAGCCATAAGCCGGAGTTACCAAACGAGCTCAAGCTGGTCACCTACCGTATACCTACCACGATATACCGTATACCTTTCACCGTAGCTAAGTAATTTTACATTATGATATAACCAAAATTCTTTCTTAACTAACTTAACCACAACTTACTATCAAAAAATTTTTTAAGTGGATTTTTATGATCAACTAATTCGAAAGCAAAGTTACCACCCCCACAGTCTCATCTCATCATGCCTCAACTCTTCCCACACATATGTTCATACAACAGACCCATCTGCCTGACAATGTCTGTGCTATCCTCCCCTACTCCCCCCCCCCCCCCACTTCTCCCAGCGCTCCGCCCAATCTCGAACACAATATGCACCCCAACATGTCCCGCCTCCGAAAATGCGGGAAGAGGCAGATGAAAAATAGCAGCGTTCAGACTTACGGTCGACATTCATGTGTAGTTTCTCGCGGATCACTTTGCACACATCGAAGACGAGCGTTTGCGGATCGAATTGCATCGTCTTCTTGGTGCCCTTCTCCTGTGAGACCACGTTTAACGTGATCACGCCCATCTTGGTGGCGCGTCTACTGCAACTGCAAACTGCAACAGGAAATTTTTCGCTGGAGCTACCGTAATCATACCGTAGTCGTACAGTAATCGCGACAAAAAATACATGATAATGAGGCAGAAAAAACGAGTTTTTAGAAAAAAAATTGAAAATTGCAAGTGCAAAGGTACAAAGACTGAATTCTTCACTGAGCTATGATTGTTGACATAGAATAGAATAATCTATTGAAGACTAAGGACAATGGCACCAATGTCTAGCCAGCAGTCTATTGTTACACTAAAAGCCGACAATGTGCTAGAGAATGTGCCGAAAGATATCCAAAGTGTTCACCTCATTTTTAAACTAAAAACCTAGGTATGGGCCAAAATGTGCTCAAAACCTTAGACATTTTCTTCAAGATAACTTGCCCTTAAAATGAACAGGCTTTGATATTAATTTGGCAATAATTTCCTTCACATTTTCTCCCTTTTTTACTCTGAAAAATTTACAAACTTCCCGACAGATTTCAGATTTGCCCCTCACTTTGGAAATGGCAAAGTCTAGCCGTTGGCATGGTCGATGCCGCAAGTGCACACTCAGCTAGAAGGTTTACGACAGCTTTCAGAATTTCAGTCGGTCGAGCTTGAGAAAAGAATACTCGATAGGCGAAATTATAAATTATTATAAAAATAAATTATAAAATCACAACGAAAACCTTCTGGTAATCGCAATGTCAAAAAATTTTTTAGAAAAAAAATACCACGAAAAATCCTCCCCTTCCTATTTTCTGAAAACCCTGCCAGCTTATGATGGCTCTTCTATGAAGTGGCCCGCTACTCACCCCCCCCCCCTTCCTCTGGATGAATTTTTTCCATAGTAATGAGCGTAGAAGAAATAAATGTTGTTTTATAGCCTTGCAGAAAAAATCAAATAAACACCAAAACAGCTGGTATTTTTTACTCTCTGACTAACCTCTCGAGACACAAAAAGTTGATTATAACAGATGAGCACAGGAAGAAATGTTTATGAGAGCATGAAAGTGAAAAAAGGATTAAGTATGTTGGTGCTATAATAAGTAAATTTCAAGTTACCCAGATAATGAAACCAAGCAAGATTAGTACATTTTAAACTTATGTCTTCTAATAAAGCCCTTAGAAGAAGAATTTACAAAAGTAGGTACATCGAATACCACATAGTAGCAAATGCACAGCATTCAGCAAGGACACACGAGAAATATGATGTTCAAAACGCCACAAGGAATCTTCAGGAAAGAGCCATACTTTTTGGAAGGGATTACACTGAAGGGGAGCGAAGGCGGGTATGGGATCAAGTTACAGCATGTGTATTATTGGAATAACTTCATTGTATGTATACGTCTTATCGATAGAAAGGAGAAGGGAGGAATTTATGGATCAAAGGGCGATTGTTACTGCGCGAGAACTGGTCCCCAAGGCAGGCTACAGAGGTGTGGAGAACACGGTAGGGAATGAACATGGCTAAGAAATGTTACTGTAAACGCGGGATGAAGAATAAAGAGGAGACCGGTGCAAGAGTGAAAAATGCAAGAAATTTTCATCGATTTCATAGAAACACCCAAAGAATTCAAAAATTCTCGTTCAGTGGCACGAGACAACGATAGGATGTGCAGATAACACACAGAACTACAGGAACGATGGCAATGTGTGAGTGTACGTGTGTGTGACGAACGGGACGAGTTGCACCTCGTCCCCCCACACATGTACAGGGACAGAGAGCGCAACAGAACGCTGCTGCTGGCATAGAAGAAAATAACTCCCAGAGCTGCTTTACACACCGCGCTCTCGCAGACGCCAACGCAGCCGCGACAGCTGCTCCGACCGCTGTGCTGCTGTCGGCGCTCGACGCTGCTACCGCGGCCACCGCCGTTGCTGGCTGTTGCTACTTTTGCGTAGCAATGCGAACGTATATTGCGCCCCATACTCCCCCCCCCCCTCCTCCCCTCTACGCGGAAAACATGGGGGAGGGGAGGAGAACTGCTCATGTAAAAAGCATCAGATCGAGTTCTAAGTTTGTTACATAAAGAATGAATTTTTCATATTTTTTCCTACTTTTTCACGCAACCTCAGATCCCCTAGAAAAATCTATTGATCATACATAGGACCATCTATACTAATTAATTAACTAATTTGTGTGAATCTGCACATCACGCGCTGAACCCTGCGACTCTTTGAGCACAGGTAATCAGTAAAACCAACGTAATGGAACAAAATGTCGGGAAATGATAACCTAGCTCACTCAGGGCTTGGCACCAGAGAAATTATAACACGAAGTCTCCTTTGATCTCAAAAATTTCTTACGAAGATCCTTTGACCCTAAACTCTAGACGTAAAAAAACTCAAAAAAGGAAACGTCAACCAAAAAACTTCGCAATTTTTCTGAATTTTCGGCCACAAAAACGACATCCTCTTTGCTCTTTGTCCCAAAAATCATGTCTAGCTTGACCCGGTACTAGCTGTGCCGAGCCCTGAGCCCACTACAAAGAGTGTATTTCAGAAAATGCCAATTTGTAAGAGAAGTCGTGAGATGCCGCGCGTGGTGTGCAGCTCACACAGTGAGTTATAAATCACTAGAATTCAGATCCCGCATATCTGCAACCCAATTTCAAGTCTTAAATTTCTCAAATTCTTTGCAATAACTTAACCTAATATCAATAACAGTGATCAATGAGTAATAATAGCACTAGTATTTCTAAATATTTTCTGGACAATTAATGATTCAAGTGGATAAAATCTAAGCAGAAGCACGTTTGAAATCACTGGGCTAAATCTAGTAATCTTTATTCCATGTCAACGTGTTTGAAAATCTTGAAGAAAATTCAAGAGAAATTGAAAATCTATCACTCGATTATCCTATCATCAATTTGCTCGTGCGCGTACTTCTTTTTCTTCAACAAAATGAACGATAGTAGTCAATCGAAAATCGCAAAACATCAATTATTTCCCAAACATTAATTTAAGTAGACATGAAGAACTGCGACTGGTGCTTGGCAAAAAGTTGTTGATTGTGTATACGAAAATAGAAAGGGCGAGTATTGTTCAACTAAGTGAAATTCAAAAATTAACTATCAAATAAATAACATTATTTACCCGCCCTATGCAGGAAAAATCTACTAAGCCTCAAAGTTTACCCTCAAAAAAGGGAAATGAGAGCAAAAACGTATAAATGAAGTCATCGATGTAAAATTCGCCTTTGAGTCATGATGTTTACCAACAAAGTGATCTCTCAGGATTTTCATTCTTGATTATGTAAAACTGAAGCGAACAGAGAGGGAAAATTAATCTTTGATTCAATTGGCTTCGGGAAGGCGGGGCTTTGTGACCTAATTATGGTCGCTCGCGCCCGCAACGCACCTGCGTCTCTCTCGCGCGAGTGCTCTCTAATCATTACCTAGCCTCAATTAGATCGAAGCCCCGCCTTCCCGAAGCCAAGCCACTTGAATAAGAGGGTACAAAAGGTGCACAATTTTGTCTAGAAATTCAGAATACGAGTAATGATGAAGTACGTATCTACGAAGTTATTTTGAAACCTTACCTCCCCTACTGTGTAAATTATTCAAAATCGAGAGCCTACAAAATTTGTTCGATGTACATGAACATTCATACCGGAAACAAACCAACTTGCTCTATTACGTAAGTCTGGTCAGGTCATATGAACAGATGAATCATCAAATGGACTCAAGAAGCTGTTGTAAACTTTACTATCGACTGGATTAATCAGCCAAGGGGCTAAATGATTCGGGGTACTAATGGGTGAAATTTTTGTGCACTTATTGTAAAAACCTCAATATGCGTATTGCACACAATGCAAGATACTTGACGACAAAGTAAGATTAGGAACAATTTCCAATTTCCAGTTTCTCCTTGTTTTATTTTTTTGGTGGGATTTGTATTATTTGTACACATTTCTACAATTTGTTAAACAAGTAAGAGCCTTGAGGAGTACTGGTACGAGTGTTATCAGTCGCCCCCGCATAGTGTGCAGACTCACAAATCTGTGTCAAGGATGTGCTCCCTTTCCACTCAGCTCAAGCGCAACGCTGGAGCCACGTGCAGTGTTCGCGGGCGTACCTTTGAAGTTCAAGGCGTCGATCGGGGATGGTTGCGCAATGCCACGAGCTGCGTATGCATTGTTGCTACGGAAAAGGGACCGCGTGGTTAACACAGACGGTATAGGGCATTTGTAAAATCGTGACGATGGCGCGACCGCGCGCGACACGCACGCCACTTCAGGAAATTGCATTTTTTTGATTTTCATCTCTAGTTTAACTGTTTTTTTGCTTATGTATGATAATATTCAGATACTGGAAGCGACTGAGCTAAACGTTAAGGTGATGCCTTCTTGTATAAGCGTTTTATGCTCCTTTGGACGCAAAGTCCGCAGCAAAATCCATCGTCACGATTCTATAAATAAACTACAAAAAGTTCCGAAAGTCGTGGATACTATATATCTACGCATTTCTTAACCTTTTGCCTTAATATTTAAAAAAAGTTTCTCTAATAGAGCTTTTTCACAGTATGATATCAAATACCCTATTGCAGACACCATATTGTGCAGTTGCACACTTCATCGGCAATGTCTAACTGACTATAAACGCTCACTAGCTAATTCAGTGTGCACGACATGACAGCAGCGTTTAACGGAAAGTCGTAAATTATGATAATAGCAAATGTTCTCATCTCTGCAATCGCTGAAGCCACGTTCTAGATCCATCTTATTGTTTGTCTACAAGATGTATCACTTTTCATGCCTAATAAAGCAGCTTTACTTCTCTCCTCATCCTTCCCGCAAACGGTCGGCTAGCTTTATCTCTGACCTATACCGTCCACCAAGGATAGGATCAAGAAGACAAGGTGGAGGAAACCGTGGCTGGTCCACTGCGTCTACTTGGTCGAGAAGTCATGGACCAAGATTGCGATGTCACAAGAATGCACCGGTTGGTACAAGCAAGAAGACTCTTGTCATCGAAGACAATCGGAATCGAAGATGCACTCAAGCCAAGTAAGATATCATCGCGGT